AAAAACGTTCGAAACATGGACTTTTCCAACCCCTTAACAATCAATTATTTGTTAACAGTAGTCGACAGCTCCGATGGAGCCTTTGACTATAACTTTTACTGCACCAACGAAATAAAAAAAGTAAAAAGTAAAAGTGTAGCGATGCGAACAAGCTAAAAATGCGTCAAGAAATTGGATCTTTAAACCTTATGCACCCACAAATACGATGCCTCAAATTTCAAAAACTCTATTGCTATATACACTCTGAGATGTAATACAAACTGTGACAATACAGACGAAAAGTTCACTCATTACACATGCGCACACACACTGACTCTGATTCTCGACACCAGCCTCACAAACCAACCATGTTATAATGCAAAATACCATAATGGTCTTCCTATGGATACACCTAAGTATGGAAATAAGAAGAGTGTCCTACAGGATGCTTGCACGGCCTATGGCATTTCATTCACAAATGAAACGAAAGCGGCATTGTGAAAAAGCTTAGTGTGCACATGAGCAAGATTGACATTGAGATTGTGTTCATTACACGTGCTGCAGGGCATGAGGTTGTTTACACACCTCCCTACCACAGTGACGTTCAACCAATCGATAGTTTGGGCCATCGTAAAGTGCCAAGTACAGTGATATTTACTACTTAGTATGCATATATATGCCAATGTAGTATAGGTTGGTCGCCAGTACACACAAGACACAATGTTCAAAGACGTCCACGTGCGGCTCATGAAAGCATTCGAGGAGGGAGCTGACTCCAAGCTGCATCAAGGGCTGCATTCACAAGCCCGACAGGCAACTTCACAAACTTGCTGAGTTCATCAAGGAGCACGAAGGCGATGCGATAAAATATTCCCGAAGTCGTCAATGATCCGATGTCTGAGCGTTTCCTTGGGACTCGCGAGGCCACGGCTCTCACACCATTAGCATCGTGGTCGATCGCTTGCTACCCAACGGATTGCAAGTGTGGGCTTGCACGACGATAGAGGCATAGGGACTGTGTCGGGCGGAGGCAGTTGGGAATATCCAGATGTGAACCAACAGCACCAACAGCACCACCGTGACAACGTCACATCATTGGCCAATCATTCAATTGTCACTATGCGAATTGCGCTTTTTTTTTGACGATTGGAGGTTGCTCCATTCCTAACTGGCCAAGCCAGAAGCGCGTTTGAGTTGAACACAGCGGCGGAATTCACCATGAACGGTTGCTGAATGCACCGGCATCACATGAGGCAGCGGAGTGTCTTTGCTCGATGTTGGCCCCACGGATTGATGTCTCGTCGTGGGGGTGCGTTATGAAATCGGCGCTACGAACCATCGGGTAAAATATCTTCCGGATTTGGGTGTTTCGTAAAGCCAAAGCATAATTCAAGTATGTGATATTAGCACATGTATCCATACAATTCCCTATTATATTGAAGGGAGTACTGTTTCTGTAACACCAGAGTATTCGAGAATTTTTGCACGTGCGAAGATTTGACTCTCCCGACTAAAACTTCGATTCGAACTTCCACACTTGCAGACTTTGCTCAGAAACGGGCCTGAAAAGTGAAGAAGCGACCACACTTTTGGCCTCGAAGTCCGTAGACTTCTGACAACTTTCCTAGCCATCAAAATCGTCTTCGTTGCGTTGCGCAGTTTAGTAGCAACTCATTGAAGCATCCATTCGAAGGCAACCCTAAGCGTGACGTTGTCCGAGACATGAAGAGTCTGCGTTCGCATGTCATGCATTGCCACCGTGGCTTTGACGTGAAAATCAAATCTGTTCTGTCGAGGTTGGCTTGCGAAATTTCCACTCTCGCCAACACGCTGGGACTCGCTTCAGAGGGAGGAACTTTACTCAAGATCCTCAGTTGAAATCAGCCGGTATTGGGATACTACTGAGTCCTTATAGACCATACACGGATTTTGACCCTGGTCTGAGTCCTTTTCAGTGTCATATTCTACACTGAATTCAATAAATTGGAGTGTGAAGGGTATTCGTTCGCATCGTGACACTGACCTTTTAACGGCAATTCTGCAAAAATTAATACAGTATAAATAGATAAGATATGCATGGTCATTTCGAAGTCCACCCAATGCGCTGGAATGGCCGACTCATGCAGTTGTGGAATCAACTGATGCAGTCGTCCGACGAGGAAATCGTCGATCATGGAGCGGGTCTCGTCGCGGTCGCCAGCCAAACTTGGATCGGAACCGGGCTGATGGGCACCAGCAGATTGTCGACGACTACTTTGGAGAGAACGGGAATCCAACGAGCTTAAAAGATAATATAGGTCTGTTGCCATTACATAAGTGCACTGCGTCGATGCGTATGCTGGCCTATGGCGTCTGCGCTTACTCGATTCACCATCGTCGCCTTGGTGAATCGACAGCCATCGAATCATGAAGCGCATTACAAGGGCTGTCGTCTCAGAGTTACTACCCTTGATTTGATCCTCAGACGCCGCTACCCATATCTTATAGAGTAACTCGGTCGCCATGTCGTTCATCGATAACGACATTGTCGTCCAGCAATTGAAAAGTATTTCGTGTAGACTAGTTTGTATACCATACAAATATCTTGTTATTATATTAATTCAGCGCAAAACCTCGTCTCGGAGTTTTTAGTGAAAACTCCGTGTGGAATGGTCAAGACTCAGTGCCCGGGGTTCTGAAACTCAGTTTCAGGATCGAATTCAGTGTTGGGGTGGTGGTAAATTCAGGGTCAAAATATCATCGACACTGAGTAATATTCAGTTTCAGGGTCAAATTCCGAGTACGGTGGAGATGCTCCAACGTTCGAGCACTATCGTTATATAACGTCGCAGTGATATACAAATCGACTCTCTGCGTCCTCATGTTCTCTCGCTTAATTGCGCGCAATGAAGTCATACCGGTAGGCACAGGCTAAAAGTAGTTTAACATCACTAATGTCAGTGTTCTATTTGCTGCCTTGACGAAGGTCCCGTGGCCGAAAGCCGAGAAGAAGCGGGAGACAAAACAAAGATATCTTTAGTTCTTTGTTGAGCTATTCATTGGAGATGGTACGAAAACATTCCTCCGACGAGAAAACACCAAGGAACGCCAAAGAACGATCGCGGTCGCGTAATCGTATCGAGTAGCCGCGAGGACACATCGCTCAGCGCACCGTGGAGAACCCGTTCAGGTCTCCCCGACGGCGACAGCTACATGCTGTCGAAGAGTGGGAACCGCCACGCGGTGAGTTTAACACCCCTGACACAACCCGAGTAACACCAGCTGCCGCAGTGTTTGTGCGGGCTTCTGCTCCACCAAGGACTGAAGCAGATGGCGCTAGTGCCATTTCCAGCCAACAACGACCCATCGGGTGTCCGTGATGATATGGATATGGGTAGATATGGCGGTTACGACCGTACGGCGCCGCAAGTTTGGAACGCGCCGGCGATCCCGCAGCCGCCAACATTCTCGGGCTCGATCAAAGCCGAAAGACGAGCTTTTATGCTCGAGTACCTGAAGTACCTGAGGCAGATCAACGATATGCAGTGCAATGGATCGCGTGCGTTCGCGATGTCCGTGAGTGCCTGCATGAACCCGTTTTCGAAGCGCCGGATCGCGCTGCTCGATTGCAACCGCGACCACAATTCCATCACGAACTATGAGTGGGTCGCATGGTTCAAGTCGGCGTTTGAGGACGATCCTCAAGACCTGGATGTTTTGAAGCAATGTCTGCAGCGGCGATTCGTTTCGAACGAAGATCTTGGACGTGGAGTCCCGCGTCGGTCGCATGTCGGACGAGATGATGCGCTCGTTGGCATGAGGAGTGGGCACTCCGTCAAGAAGGCAATATGGTCGTCGAAGTTATCATGAAATCGATCAAACCGGAATCGCTGAAGACAGCGGTTCAAAAGCAAGTGCAGTTCCAGAGGAACAAGGCGCTAATGAGCGACGTAGTTCGTTACGTCAACTGGCAGCGAACCTTTGCAGCTGGCCACCAGCTGTACCTTGGACTCGACGACGAGTCTAAACCTTCCCCCACAGCGAAGCCGGTAGAAGCTCCACGAGGCGACAAGATCACGCCCTTCGGCGTGTACACCCCGACCCTCGTGCTCATGGGACAGACGGACGCTGTCGTGTACTGCCAGCCGGTTATCCACCAAATGATTTCGAACTGCTGTTCCGAGGCCTGGCTCGACGACTTGCTGGGGTCCGCCAAGGCGACCGACGATCTGTTTGACTTGTTGGACCAAGTCTTGACGATCTGTGCCCAGTTCGGACTCAAGTTGAGCCCGAAGAAGTGCCATTTCTTTCTGCACCAGGCAGATTGGTGTGACAAGGTGATTTCGACCGATGGAATCACCCATTCCCCAACCCGAATTCAAAGTCTTGACGATCTGTGCCCAGTTCGGACTCAAGTTGAGCCCGAAGAAGTGCCATTTCTTTCTGCGCCAGGCAGATTGGTGTGACAAGGTGATTTCGACCGATGGAATCACCCATTCCCCAACCCGAATTCAAGGACTTGTGGATTTGTCCGCGCCAATGACAGCGGCCGACCTCCAACAATTTGTGTATGCAACCAACTGGGTGCGTGCGAGCATCCCTGGCTACAACCAGCTGGTGGATCCGTCGCGACGTCTGCTCAACGTGACCACCAAGACAACCGGAAGCTGCAAGAAAACGGCGTTAGCGCGTGTTGCACTCCCTGCCGTGGGATGGTCGCCGACCATCTCAAGTGATTCAACGATGTGAAACACGCGTTGGCGCATGTGGTGCCCCTGTCGTACTCGCGAGAATACATGACGGTCTGCGTTTTCACGGACGCCAGTGACCTGTTTTGGAGTACTGCAAGCGGCCTTGGACTTGCCTATCGAAGACTAGTGGCACCAGCCGCTTGCGTTCATTAGTGCGTCGTTTTCTGGCGCGAGTGCGCTCTGGTCCATCGTCGAGAAGGAGGCCAATGCAGTAGTCGAGTCGTGCAAGAGACTCGACTACCTGGCCGTACGCCCTGGTGGTTTCCGTCTGTTTATGGTTCAGCGCTACCTGGTGTACAGTACATTATCAACCCAAGTGGCTCGAACGCCAACATGGCCAAGTACAAGGCTGACAAGCTGCAGCGATGTTCGGTGGTGATGTCGACCTTCTCGTACACCAGTGAGTGCGTCTAGGGTGACGCGAATGTATGGGGCGACCTCCTGAGCCGATGGGGTTCGGACCCGACGCATCAACCGGTCGCGAATGTTCGCAAGTTGATCCATGGTGTGTCGCCTCTGCAAAGTAAGTGGATAAAAGTGGATTTAGAGTGACCGACAGCCGCTACGATCAGAGACATCGAACGTTCGTTCATGGAAGGGGAGGGATCCCCTAAACGGCATGGATTTGGACGACGACTGCCATATTTACGTGGACCCATATAGACGAATCTGGATCCCAGACGGTGCTGTTGACCTACAGCAGCGGACAGCAGCGGATTTGTGTGATCGCTCACCAAGAAGCCAGTGGTCACCGCTGCATCGCAGCGACGACCAAGTCGGCGTCCGACGAATTTGTGTGGAAGACGCTTTCCACGGACATCGAAGCGTTCGTGCGGGCCTGTCTGCACTGCCTGTGCATTGACGGAGAAATGATTCCCCGTCCATTGGGTTCGGCGCTTCATGCGGAGAAGCCGAACGAGCTCATCCATTTCGACTGGTTGTCGATGCCCATGGCCAAGTCTGGCCAAAAACAAGTGCTTGTCGTGAAGGACGACATGAGTGGCTTTGTGCAGCTGTTCGCGGCAGACTCCGCTGACGCCGCTGCGACCGCTCAGTGTTTGATGACGTGGTTTACCACGTTCGGCTGCGTTTACACATGGGTGTCAGATGTCGGCTCTCACTTCAAGAACGAAGTGATCGAGAAGGTGCGGAAGTTGGTGGGAGCTCACCATCACATCACGACAGCATACAGTCCTTGGGCGAATGGGACTGTAGAAGTAGTCAACTAACTAATACTGTGCGCCGTGAAGGCGCTGCTCAGCGAAATTAAGCTGACAGTGGACGAATCACCGCATGTGTTGCCCTTCGTTCAAGGTGCCCTCAACCATCAGCCGGCAGACAGGTTGGGATGAATTGTACCCCTGTCACAGCGTTTACTGGACTGCCAGCCAAGACCTCGCTGGCATGATTGTCCACCCAACGTCCAAAAACGTTTACGTCGTGGACGGACCTCCAAGTGGCGCTTGAAGAGATTTACCGCAACGTCGCGGTGCGAAGCGACAAGTTGCGTCAGCGAGCGCGTGGACGCCGCGACCGAAAATCCCAAGTCAAGTTTGTGGGTTTGTTCGGTTGGTGATTTTGTGCTTGTCGGATCGGTTGTCAACCGTCCAACAAAATTGGCCCTGCATTGACGAGGACCCTGCCAAATGACCAGAGTCATCATAGACAATGTGATGGAGATTCAGCAGTTGATGCCACCGTACAAAATCACGCTCTGTCATGCGTGCCACTTGAAGATGTACCACGAAGGTGGTCGAGAGGTGACCGAAGACCTCGAGGCGCAGATTGCGTTTGGCGATGGCAGATTTCACGTGGAGCGCTTGGACGAAGCGGGATGCGTGGATGGCCAACACCAAGTTTTGGTGAAGTTGCTTGGACTCGACGATAAAGAATCGTCCTGGGAACCTGTGGCGAATTTGCTGGACGACATTCCAGTCGTATTTCGCAAGTGGTGTGTTTAACATCACTAATATCAGTGTTATATTTGCTACTTTGAAGAAGGTCCCACGGCCGAAAGCCGAGAAGAAGTGGGAGGCAAAACACACATTTCGCACGATCTAAAAGTTCTATTGAGTCACCACAGAGTATTGAGTTACGGATGAGTCCACCTCGACTACGTGAAAGGCATCAACCAACATCGTGTTGTCCACTCAATGGGTCGTAATGCCGCCACGGTATTGTAACATGATATCCTTGAGTACTTGAGATAGTACACCAGAAATACTGTGCGCCAATCACCCGCACAACCACGTGAGCACATTGACATGGACGGTGTATGACACATGCTTAGGTTGCAGCGGTAGCACTATCCCGTGTGTATTTCATGGTCCATGCATTCGGTTCGAAGGCAAGTGTGTGTGTATACAACATGGGAAACTGACCGAGTGAATACCACAAACATTATTATCTTCATGTTGCTTGCGTCAAACCATCACAGTCCCTCCGATCAGTGCATGATGTATCACAACTAGGCGTGTACTTCTGTTCCGATTGGGCACATTGGATAGTTATGAATGTACAAGGCTGTTCACCTTGCGAATTCCGCAAAAGACAGACAAAAGATAAAAATCAAGTAAACAAACTCGAAGTTACATTTAAGCGAAACGAAACATTTTCAGAATTATTTATGGAATTCGCAAGATGGTTCACCTTGCGCTGCAAAGTCGCCTATTACACCTTGCTTCTTCTGGTTAATGTTTGCTTTGCTTATACTCTCCTCTGTGCCCCGTCTTGATGCATATAATAACAAGTGAAAGCATGAAGATGGGCATCGCAACGATTCCTTTTACCGCAGTTGGTGCGGCCATATTTACTGCAGCAACAATATCAAATAGAAAGCATAAAAATATGTGGCCCCAACCGGTGATCGAAACCGGGACCTCCTGCACCCAAAGCAGGAATCATACCACTAGACCATTAGGGCTCATTATTAAATAGACTTGTGTCATTGGACAAGTCAACTCTCCAGACAACAATGCGTGGAGATTCGGTATGAATGTTCTGGTCTATCAAATCTCGCTGACCGAACCGGGCATTAATCTCTCCCATTGGCTACGATCCAATTTAGCTTTTCTACCAAAATGGGCGAGGCCAATCAAATGTCTCCGCTCGGTTTGTGTTCGGTTGAACTAATTTTTAATATCCGTACAATTACTCCGTTTCTTTGTGATTGTAGTCCGTTTGCCTGAGTAGTCTACGTTCAGATCGTGATATATTCTCGTACGTTTTACGTAGAAGACATGAAACGTCGTAGTGAAACCGAACGGCGCGGCAGTTGTATTTTTGCTGTATTTTTAGTCCACGATGCCGAGTGATGAGGACGAGTCCCGACCGCCGGAGAATGCCGGCCGTAGAATCTCGGTTCGGCCACGGCTATTCCATCGAAAGGTGGCAATGCTACCCAACACGACCTATGACTTCCACGTCATGCAAAACTCGTCACTTCTTACACTCATGTCCAAGTTCTCAAACCGCAATTTGCTTCGACGCCGGCCGCTGTGCGCCACCGATGGCACCCAAACGTGGCTATTAACCAGTGGTACAATTGGATCGCTACATGGCGGGGACACTGTGATTCACGTCGACGGACTCACCCAGCGTCACGCTCAAGTGGGTGAAACATCGAGTGTTTCGAACTGCAATAATCTCGTCGATGTTAGATCACATGCAGAGGCGACTCATGCTTTGTTCAGTCAAGCCCCAACTGCGCCACGTACTTGAAGCTTCCGTTTGACACGGGGCGTCGCGGGTACCCCATTTCAGTCGGCGATATTATTGAAATGGGTCGGGGGTTTGTCGTCCGAGTAGTGGAAATCGACGTGAAAACCACGTCGAGTGTCGACAAGGTGGAGAAGCTGCCACCCCTGAAAGAGACTACGTTTGGTCAGGCGGTGGATATTCGCACGCAAGTGTGCATTCGAAATCTGACGCAACAAACCAAGCTGTCCAAGACCACCACGGTGCTCGAGCCAGCCAAGTTGGTGCTTCAGCTGCACCACAAGGAGCCCACCGACGTCGTCCGGGTCGTGACTTCCCCCAAGAACACGCTGTGGTTTGGCAGCTTGCACTCGTCCGACATCATCTGTCCGACGTTGGAACGTCTGCACGCGAAGATCGAGTTCGACGGGTCCAGATACGTCTTGAGCGACTTCAGCAACGCCACGCGGGTCGTGGTGGGTGAAGCCCCCGTGCACATTGTCCCAGAAGATGTGCTGGTGGTCGGGGACCGGCACTTCAAAATCGTCGAGCTCAAGGACGACGCGGTGGCGACGCCAGGACTGGAAATTCAAACCTTGCGGATTTCCGCGCGAAAACGCTCGCATACGAAAAAGCACATGCCCATCAAACTCGATTTACCCCCCAACAAGCTGCTTCACGTTGGCCGGGCTCCGCGTACGCTTGACGTGTACATACATTGTGTCTCATGGATTGGTAGAATGCAACATCACGCTGTCCAACTACTCGATCAAGCTCGTGCAATTCAGCATTTTATACGAAAACGACCGAGTTTGGGTCATGCCGCTCAATGGAAGCCTCAACCAAGGCCTATACCGCCTCTTGTCCAGACAGGAGCGGCAGCGCGAAGAAACTGTACACGGTGGTTAAACGCCCTTGTCCTACTACCCACCAGCTAACTATTCGTATTCTTTCAATGAGGTAGATACTACCGTGCCCGTCGTGTCGAGCGTGAGCCCCCTACTGCAGCTGCACAAGGACACCGTGTTCAAAGTCGGGTGCTCCGAGGTCGAGGTCGTGTACATCAAGCACCAGCCCAAGTCCGTGTCGGCGACGACCCAGGACCAAATGAACGACCGATACAGCATCCTGCAAGAACTACCGTGGTTCCTCCTGAGTCAAAACCTGCCGGGGTTCTTCAGTGAGACGGGGCACTTGGCGTCGCACTGCAAGGTGCAGACGGTCGCGGCGGGCGAGTATATTTATAGCCAAGGCGACGACGCCACACGGGCGTACGTGGTCATGCGGGGCAGCGTCCTGCTGTTCCGGTCCAAAGGTGCGACAACCTTTTGTTTGAATCCTTTATTGTCATGGAAGAATTGGGTTGTGTGGCAGATGCTGTGGGGGACAAGTTTTACATTGAAAGCGTCGACCGAGGCGGTTCATTTGGAGAAATTGCGCTTCTCCAACCCAATGCCAAGCACACCACGAACGCGCTCGCTCGAAGCAACGTCGTGTGCATGGTCCTTGTCGCCAAGTAAGCCCAACCCCCCCAACCCCCACCGAATCGTCCCCCCCCGAACTTCCCGACGATTTTAGGGACTGGACCGACTATTGCGCGCCGTATCGGGATTTGTACCTGTTGCCACTGAAGCACGGACTGCACGAGACGACCCTCTTGGAGGCGCTGGCCGCGCTGCCGTACATGGACATGGTACCCGTCGATCTATTTCTCTCCAGGTCTGGTCCTACTGGTTGGTTAGATTTCGCTGGCGTTGCAGCAGCGGGTGGCGCTGAAGATGACGCGCAAGTCGTTTCCGCCGCAGTCGTCGCTCCTGCAAGACCCGTGTTGCATCTTCTTTGTCTCCGAGGGGACGATCGAGATCCAATTCGACGACGATATGGTCGAAGTGCACTCGAAAACGTTCCTCTTTGACCGGTCCAGCCACGCCATGCCGTCCCTTGTCGACGTAAATGTTCACGTTTTAGAATGTGTGTGTATTTTCGTGTTGATTCGAGTAATATTGGCAGATCATGGCCGTGGACAACGTCGAGTGCCTGGTGCTGTCTGCCGACGACTTTGCCAACACCATCGGCATCACATTGCAACACCGCCGCGTGGAGCACCCGCTCGCGTTTATCACTGCGTTCGACACGACGCCGCAGAACGAGTCGGCGCCGCCGCGAAAGCTCTCGATGCGGACTGAATCCAGTACAGAGTCTCGTTGTGTAGTTCTTCTCATGATTAGACTCATCGACTGGTAGTGGCCAAACCCAAGCGAAAGTCGTCGCTCATTCGAGCCAAGGAGCTGTGGACGGGGGTCGCCACCGAAGATGAAGACCATGAGCCCGCGCGCTCCGAGCCCCCCGTGCCACTTCCCCCGGCCGACTCGTGGCGCCAGAAGAAACGCAATGCCGCCATGCTGCAGAGCCGCATCGAGTACCTCAACCTCGAGGCGTCCATCGAGTCGGCGTTGGTGCTGTACGTGCTGTCGGGACCGAACCGTGGCGATGTGCATATTGTAAGGAACACGCTCACGATTGGCAACGCCCACGGCACGAGCGCTTTGAAACTGCGCGACCACGCGCTGAGTCCCCAGCACGCGCTCATCTTTCACCGAGACGGTAACCCAAGAATAATAGCCTACTTGCTACTTTACGGTACAGTGACAAGCAACTACTAGGCAAGTACTGGCTCCAAGACTGCAACAGCCACACAGGGACGTTCGTGCGCCTCACGGATGACGAAGCGTGCTGCTTACATGTGGGCGATACACTCCTAGCCGGAGACACAGAGTTCACCGTCCTCGGCACCCCCGCGCTTACCCCCCAGTCGCATAAAAGCGCGTCATGTTGTGTCACTTAACCAACACGTAAACTGGTTTTTCCATGGCAAACTCGACTTGTGAGTCCATGTCTACGGCCAGCACGCCCCGGATTTGCTGGAGGCCGGCGATCAGCGGCAGCAATTCCACGCTCACATGCACGCTCGACTTGCCTTGCACTATCCCGACATTCTACTCACGATATTATATATATATATATATATGTCGAGGTATGACCAGATGGGATACAGAACTGCAGAGAATGCCGAGCATCAAGTCCCGACGCAGCTGCAACTGCAAATTCATCGCTCGAGTGCCGTTGTTCTGGATGAGAACGCTCGCCACGAATGGCTGGCCCACTTGGGCGACCACTGGCGTCGGCAAGAGGACGGTCACCGTTGCTTCTTTTACACTACCCACCTAATAGTTTAATACCGAAATATTAAACTATTAGGTCGAAATATACAACAAATATATAGTTCGTTCCGACCTTGCGCATCACAGGCTGGGTTTGCAACCGACCGGACTCGCCCATGGCGGATTTCCAGTTGACTTCCAACCGCCCTAAAGTCGCATTTGAGATAATATAATATACATAGAATATACATATATATATATACATATAATATATATATGTACCAAGATTCAACGTGCCAAGGGACAAATCCAAGTGCTCGGCAGTGACTTTAAAGATGCACTGGATGGAATCGTCGGGGAAAATTAAATTGTTTGCGTTGTCGCTGCAATGGGTTGATATTTTTATAAGAATTGGAAATATGTGACAGAGTTACTTGTCAGGTGCCGTCAACTGCTGCGCTTCGAACGGCGGCGACGGCACGAACACAATCGTATCTGCATGCAGGGGTATCTGCGTGATGTTTTGGATCTTGGCTTCGACAAACGAAATGTCCTACTTGATATGACGCAATGTGGAAGGAAGTCGTGGGTACGTACTTGGATCAACACGTGCTTGAATGTGATCGTGAGCGGATTCAGGACTTGGAAGCGGTAAAACTTGCGAAGCGACTTGGGCTCGTTCGTCAGTGGGTCCAGGTACGATACCCCCACGCGCAACCTGTCCATGGAATGAGTCATGCGGGAAAGGGATGCATGAAATGAACTCACGTGTGGACGCCGACTTCGCTCAGTTCGAACTCGACCGCCATGTCCAAGTTGGACCCGGCGGATAGCACGGCCGCGGGGTTTACTGGCGGTGTCGTACCTCCGCGAAGCTCACGCTTGTCGGTGAGGTCGCTTCGGGTTGTGGGGGTCTGTAGCTTCGCCTGCGATCATAGTTGTCAGGATCATGGTAAGAGGAACGATAGAACGTACGGTCAGTCCAACTTGATTCAAGTCGCACGCGAATTGGTTGATGACGCTGATGTAGCTGCTGAAGGTTTCGCCGAGGTAGATGTTGCTAGACACAGGTTGTGAGTTCGACACGGGCAGCCAAGGCCAACCCAAAGCTGTCAGGGAGAAGAAGCATGTTGGATAGCGCGAATTCCCGGCGGTACGACTTCTCGATGCTCAGGCGGGGCTTGTACAGCCGCATCACCTTGAGCGTCGGCTGCGTCGCTGTCGGTGGCGTCGCCATGATGATGACTGTCCGGATACGCCGATTTCAGGAAATGTCAATAAATTCTTAATTTCAAATAAATACTCTGCGTTTCAAAATGCCATAAAAATAAAACTATTTGAGAAGTCGAATGTGCCTAAGCCAATCAAATCACGTTCTGGTAAATTTCTGCCAATCCAAACGTTTGACTCGGCCAAACCATGTATATACTGAACTTTGTATACTATAGGTTGTACAAGCTTAAATTGGATCAAATGGGCTAAATGACTCCAAATTTGGGTGAAAAGTGCACAATATTAACCCTAATGAATAAGGTCGCTAGTGCTTTCGGGAGGGACTCGGGGAGCGCCTTTTGTCATCTCGGCTTCGTGGACGATAAGGACTTGGTGAGCGTCGTCTAGCCTGTCGGCGGGGGCTGCGGCTTCTTGAAGCGCGTCTTTTGTCACCCCGGCGAGGACTGCGGCTTCTTGAATGCCGAGGACTTGGGGAGCGTCTTTTGTCACCTCGGCGAGGACTGCGGCTTCTTGAATGCCGAGGACTTGGGGAGCGTCTTTTGTCACCTCGGCGAGGACTGCGGCTTCTTGAATGCCGAGGACTTGAGGAGCGTCTTTTGTCACCTCGGCGAGGACTGCGGCTTCTCCCACGGCGATCAGGGGATGGGCTCGAGGAAGGGCTCTTCTTGTTGGCATTTCGAGGCGGAGTGCTGAGGGGACTTCGACTGGGTCGCTGGTTTTGAGACTTCGGAGGTGTTCGGCCGTCGGGTGAGTCGCTGCTGCGCTCGTGCTTTCGCTTCTTCTTGGCCTCCTTCTTGGCCTTCTTCTTGTCCTTCTTCGCCCGCTTCAATGCCCTTTTCTCTTCCTTCGCAGCTCGTTTGTCGTCCTTCTTGCTCCCAACCTCGCTGGTTTTGTCGGAGACTTCGCCGCAGTCTGCAATGACCACATCCTGCTCGGGTTTGTCATTGCGCCCCTTGGGCACTCGCTCCATCGCCCGCACGACGTCCATGCCTTCAACCACTTCGCCAAACACGACATGCTTCCCATTGAGGTGCTTGGTCGGTGCCAGCGTGATGAAGAACTGGCTTCCGTTGGTGTTGGGGCCGGAATTGGCCATACTCAACAACCCTGCCTTCGAATGCGCATGCAGGAAGTTCTCGTCTCTGAATTTACCGCCGTAAATGGACTCGCCACCCGTCCCGTTGCGGTTGGAGAAGTCGCCCCCTTGGCACATGAAATCGTTGATGATCCGATGGAAGATAGTCCCTAGGCACGGGAATGAGAAAGCTGGTGGAGGCGATCGATCGGTCGGGGATACCTTTGAACGACAGAGGCTTGTACGTGGTTTTGCCAAGACCCTTTTCGCCTGTGCACAACGCCCGGAAGTTGTCGCTTGTCTTTGGGGTATCTCCGTAGAGACGGAAGACAATGCGGCCATTTCTCTTGCCTCCGATCTCAATGTCTACACCAGCAGGTCAACACCACTCGGGGCCATGCCACATGCACATACCGAAGAACACTTTGGCTGGCATGATCTCACCACAAACAAGGACGAACGTGTGGACTGCTGTGTGAAAAAATCCAAATAGGTTGAAGTGAAGAATTAATTGATTTCTGGGGAAGTGTCGTAAATATTATATGAAACAAAGGGAAACGTTATTATATTTCATCCAGTTTAATTGATGGCCATCATATTAATTTCAGGTACTTTTGGATAGATGAATTTTCTATTTACAACCTCAATTTGACACTTGTATTTACTATGGTGCAAGTCACCTGAAGACTACAAATAAATGCCTTAACTTTCGACAGCTATTCCAACTTTGTATTGATATTATTTTGGAAAATATACCGTAATAACGATAGAACTGGACAAGACCAACAGAAGTTACGGTTCAGATTTTCGATTGGTGAAAAATTGATCGAGTAATAGAATTTAAACCAACCGGCGCCTTTTTGTACGGAGATATATGGAACCAGGTACATTTTGGCCGAAAAGGAGTATCAAGTATTGTGCTTTTCACCCAATTTGCCCATTGTTTTATCGCACAAATCAATGGATGGCAAAAATAAAACCACACGTTAAACAACGCGAACCAAGGGTCTGGCACTTGAGCTAAATAAAGACAGGTCTTTATTTGCTGGACCATTTCACTGGCAAACTGGCCGACACAAACATGCAGCGCGAACGATTGAGCGTCCCATTGCCGGACTGCT